TCTGCTCCCTTTCGACATCTCTGAGATGACCCAGACCTTGGGTAAGACTACGTTGGGCAACGGGGTGCACCTGGTTGCCGAGGAGTCGTGGTTCTGCTTCGTGGCAAGCCACACGATCAGGAGGGACGTGGTAAACAACATGTGCCCGCCCATCAACTTCAAGTGGAAGAACATCATGGAGGATGACGATGAGGCAGGCCGGGCGTCCAAGGCAGCGGCCAGTGGCTCGAAGAAGCCAGGGCCCTAGGCTTGCCAGACGTGGTGCCGCGCGCACTGCAGCCGATCGTTCGCTCTACTCGTCCACGTCCTCGGCGATCTGAGTTGTCCACAGCCCAGTGGAGACGTCGTTGGGAAGCCAGTTGGGGGGAGGACCGCAGTGCTGATGCTGCCCTAGATGGCGACAGGCATCCTGGAACCCCAAAGGCTCTAGGCCCCAGGCATCCTGGAACCCCAAAGGTCGAGGCATCCTGGACCCCCAAAGGCTTCTCCTGAGCTCTCTCTCTCTCTCTTTCTTTCTCTCTCTCTCTCTCTCTCTCTCTCTCTCTCTCTCTCTCTCTCTCTCTCTCTCTCTCTCTCTCTCTCTTCATGCGTGACAAGGGTACTGCGCGTGAAACAAACGTCGGATCATATTTCAAATAAGCATTAAGTAACACATGCTATGCTATGCCATGCCCCCCCCGCACGTCAAACAAGTAAGGCATGCGTCAGAAACCGCAAACCTTAAGCCGAGCTCATAACAGTGGGCGTGGATCCCATAACAGTGGGCGTGGATCCCATAACAGTGGAGGCGTGGATCCCATAACAGTGGGCGTGGATCCCATAACTGGAAGCCCCGCAGTGGGCGTGGATCCCATAACAGTGGAGGCGTGGAACCCAAACAGTGAGGCGTGGAACTCAAACAGTGGACAGTGGACGTGGAACCCAAACAGTGGTGCGCGATGCCCCAAGAAGTGACGAGTGAGGATTCGGATGTCGATTGACTTCGTGATCCAACCCCAACCGCTTGCGCAGTGATGTTGGCTCCGTCGAGGGTGCTTTCTATTTTCAATTTCTTCATAACGATACATGCGACGTGCAACGTTGTCAATTCTCTTGGTAATTATGTCGGAAGCTGCCGATGTCGACGGCAGTGCCCCGGTGACGGGCGGCATCGAGCCACAGGGTCTTGACGTCAGCAAGGCCCCCTTGAAGGGCGCCATGGATGCCGATGGTGCCAGGGAGTTCAGTTTCGGAGATGAGGAGCCGCACTTCACTTCGCGGTCTGAGAGATTCCTCAAGCGGTTGGGAGCGGCAGCCGACTCAGAAGCTGAACCAGATCATAAGGCTCAACGATGCGCCGTGGCCAAGCCGAAGACCCGGGCGGCGGCGGCTGCCGCTAAGAACTGCCCTGTTCTTACGTGCGGCGAATGTATCGTGGGGAACAAAAAGTACTGCAGGATTCACCATCGGATTTACGAATGCTTGAGGACTCGCAGCCTGAAGGGCGTCGACGACACTGACGAGAGCACCGAGACGGAGGAGTCCAGGAGTTTCAAGAAGATTTTCGGACACAAGGGGAAGAAGGGCTGTAAGACTTACGAGGGGGAGATCGAGCTTGCAAGTCAAGTGCTGGAAGATGTCAGAGCGAAGCATCCTGACATGGACGATGTTGGCAGCGGGAGAAGCACGAAAGCCCGGGGAAGTGACATTGCACTTACTACGTACGTCAATCGCAGGGGGACCGAGAGAAGCACCACAGATTCGTCAGCTAGACCGAAGTGGGACTTCGAGATTTTCTCCACCCAGCTGAAGGCCCTCAGGCAGTGGTCGACTGCCAAGATCAAGCAGGAGTGGGCGCAGCTCGAGCAAGACACCCCAGAAGATCAAAAGGACAATCGTGGCCCCCCGGAGGCGCCACTTCGTCTGCCAGTGCCTTCGTGGATGGTTGGGGCCGATCAGAGCAAGCAGGAGACGAAGAACTTCCATACCCAGGAGATGGTAACGGCGAAGCCAAAGGGGACGGCCATGGCGAAGAGCGACCTGGACACCGCCGTCAAGGACTGTACCAAGGGCTTCGCCGTGGTCGCTGCTGCGAGTTCAGCAAGTGCCTTGTTAGCTCCATCCGCCAAGGCTGTCAACGCTACGGACGATGCGGGTAAGGCCGCTACAGACATCATGATCAGTCACGCGCCGACAGCCGCCTCCAGTCCAAGCGCCGCTGGCTCCAAGGACCCCAAGGACCCCAACTACCCCAAGGAGACGTCGCTGAAAGATCCAGGCTCTTCGGCGAAGAAGCAAAAGTTTGACGTCGGTGTCACGAGACTCAAAACTGCAGAGGCAAAGCAGAGGGCACTGCAGCTTGAAAGCGACAAGCTCAAGAAGTCTATGACGCTCGCTTCGAAGGCGCACAAGGAAGGCATCGACTCAGGCGAGAAGGAAAAGAACCTGTTGTTGGAGCGCTTCCTCATCGGGGCCATGGTCCTCGGCAAGGATATGACCATCGGGGTTGAGTCAATCGCGAGCGCCCAAGACATAGACATCAATGCTAATTTCAAGAAGGCCCTCGAAGGTTACAAGGCGGCTCAGGCGGGTGGCCAGCTTCCAGACCACTTGAATTCCGACGCGGTGGCATATCACGACTACAAGTTGAAGGAGACCGTCGCGAGGGCCGAACTACTTCCCATAGATAAGAAGGAGGAGCTGTTCTGCATGATCAGGGCGGAGTCGCTGGTTGGGGACATTCGGGCCGCAACCACCCCGGACGCGATTGAGGAGGCGGAGGCAAAGGTGGACCAGTTCAAGATGCAGCTCGGCCAGCTGCGCGATTGCATCATGGATGCCACGAAACTCGTGAAGAAGAGCGCCAGCACGGCTTCACAAGCAGCTGCCCAGCGCGAGAGGGAGGCGAAGGCCAAGAAGCTCGAGGAGCAGAGGGCGGCGGCTTCGGCGGCCACCAGCGCCCTGAAGAAGCAGATCACAGCGATGAGGACAGGGGGGGAACTGCCTGCCCGCTGTCTCCTTGTCTTCCTCCATCCCATCCTCCTCCTTCTCATTTGTCATCCTCCTCCTCCTCCTCCTCTCTTCGTGCTCCTGCTCTTCTTCGCCTCCCTCCTCCTCCTCCTCCTCCTCCTCCTCCTCCTCTTCCTCTCTTCGCCCTTCTCCACGCCCTCCTCGTCGTCCTCTCAGCTGGGCGCAGTTCCCCCCCCCAGGGCCACCAAGGCTGGGGCGTTTGCAGTGGACTGGGGCGCGATCGGGGGCAAGGCTGTCAAATCGTTCGATGGTGCGCCAAAGTTCGAGGAGGCGCTGAGTGGGGACTCAGCAGCAGTGCTGGACGAACCTTTCAAAGTCAGCGCTGGGGGCGCGTGGACCGACGCTTTCAAGGACAGCGCCCTGGCTAGCAGCGTGGATAAGTTCTTGGAGAAGTTCCCCGCCATGGCCGAGAAGAGGGGTGACCAGGCGAATGCCCCGATGACGGCGGTCCATGGTGCATCTGTGGCGGAGCCTCTCATGAGCAGCATTCCGCCGAAGCGGATGTACGCTGACGTCAGCAAGCATCCTGTCGTGGCCTCCTCTACCGACAAGCTGTGGTTTTTCGGATATCTAGCCACTTTCGTGGGTATGGACTTCGAGACTGGCCTGTTCGGTTCTGCTCGCTACTACGTCAAAGGAGGCAACGTCAAGCTCATCTTCATCAAGGGCGTTGATCTGCTGAGCCATCTCGGCTACATGAAGGATGTCGATATCAAGAGCCGGGCCTCGACGATGCTCCTAGCCTTGAGGCAGGACGACGCGAAGGCGCTCATCGAGAAAGGCATGCACGTTTTCACAACAACAGCTGCTTCTGGTGATCTGGTCGTGGCCCCTCCCGGATACTTCGCATGGGCAGCGGCGAGCGGCTCGAACGTTATTGGGGTGAAGAAGGCGCTGCTGCTGCAGCGTGATTCTGCTGAGAACGATCTGGAGGTATTCAGGGGGCACGGAGATTTCAAGGATGAGGTGCTGCAGGCATCGGTCGACATCTTGGTTGCAGGCAGCAGTTCGTGAATGACCACTCGCTGCCATATCCATATTTCATATCAACGGTTGGCCTCGTGACGACGAGGCACAGCAATTACACTTGCAGCCGTGCTCCAGTCGGCTGCGGAAAAAAACAACTAGCATAACATCGCCATCATCACAATGAACACTTGATCCATCGAGAATAACATTGCAATCACAGTTTGGAGAACGCTACATATCGTTGGCATGTGCAAACACGTTTTGGGGTCCACTTGCCCGTGTCGTTGGGGTGTTTCGGGTAACTCTTGGGCCATATTGGAATCATTTTGGGCCGTCTTGAAACGCGCTTTGGCCTCTGACTAATGCTGAGATATCTTACCGAGGCGTTATGGAGCCGTTTTGGAGCGCACCTGGAAGGCTTGAGGGTGAGAGACAAGGGTGTAAAGAGAAGGAGGAGGAGGAGGAGGAGGAGGAGGAGGAGGAGGAGGAGGAGGAGGAGGAGGAGGAGGAGGAGGAGGAGAATGAGGAGGGGGAGGGCAAGGAGAACAAGGAAAGGGACGAGGAGGAGAAAGGAGGAGGAAGACGAAGATGGGGGTGAGGAACAGGGGGACGAGGAGGAGATAGAACGAGGAGGAGGAAGAGGAAGAGGAAGAGGAGGAGGCCCCCCCCGGCGGCCCCGCCGCTCGCCTCGCTGCGGTTCGTCGCCACGAAGGCGGCCGAACGCAGCGCGCGGTGCCCGCTCCCACTTCGCTGATCCTTTTCTTCATTCCCTCCCCTCCTCGATCTTCTCCTCCTCCTCCTCGTCCTCCTCCTTCTCCTCCTCCTCGTCCTCCCTCTCCTCCTCCTCGTCCTCCTCGTCCTCCTCCTCCTCCTCCGCCTCCTCTTGGGGGGGGAGGGATCAGGCTCTCGAAAAGGGAAGGGGCGGGATTCGCCAGCGCCGGCGGCGGCCCCGCCAGAGCCTCAGCCGCCGCCGACGGTCGCCTTGACGGGCGGCGCTGGGCCGAGCACCCCGAGCCGACGATATGGCTGACGTGCTGACCCTGGGCACTGCGGACCCGCAGATCCTCGTGAGGTACGAGAACGATTCGCAGGTGCTAGAGAGGCGGGCGCCGTTCCCGCCGCACTTGGCGAACCAGGTCTACGCTCGCGACCCCATCGCGGGCGCGGCGCTGGCCGGCTACCGGCGCAGGGCGAAGATGCAGGGCCAGCTGCTGGGGGTCGGCCAGGTCGACGCCGCGGAGCGGATGATCTGGGTGTTCGCAGAGGCTCGTTCGGCAAGGTTCGGCGAGGTCGTGGACACTGCGCTGATGGACGACGACGCTCGCTGCGCGAGCTTCGACACGAAGGGCGCGGTGGTGCTGGATGGCGAGGAGTTCTTTGTGCAGAAGATAGCGGCTAGCGGCCTGGCGGACTTCAAGAAGGAGACGAAGACCGACCTAGGCGACGTCCGCACGCTCGGCGACCACACGGACGACGCTGGGCAGCGGGCCCTCCACTTGACGGAGGCGGTCGCCCTCGTGCGCGACACCGAGCAGAAAGGCTTCCCACTGGCCGGAATCAGGAGCGTGAAGGATCGAGTTCCTCGACAGCGTCGGCGCTGGGCCGGGCAATGTGACCTCGTACCAGGCGGAGTGGGGGCGTCTCAGCGGCGTAGGCGAGGGGTCGACCGTCAACCACGTGCATCGGAACTTGTGCGAGATGATTCGTCTCACGCATTCCTGGGACCAGGTCGACCTGTCGATGATGGCGTCGGCCGAGCTCATCGTGCGCTGGCTGATCCAGACGGAGATAGCGGTGGAAAGGACCCCTCGGCACCCCGACTACAGTGGCCTCGACATAGTCATATCCGCGCCCGTCAACGCCGTGGGCCGCGCCTCGACCTCGAAGTTCAACTCCTGGGTCACCGACCGCCTCAAGGAGAGGGCCGCCATCTGGAAACAAGAGCGGCTCTATCGTGAAGAGCAAAAGCAGACGAGGAAGGGCGACGGCAAGAAGGGTGGAGATGACGACGGAAAAGGTCCGAAGAAGAAGAAGGGGAAGGACGCCGGCGCCAGAGGCGGCGCCGGCGACGAGGGATGATGCCTCTCGGGGCTGCGGGGGCGCCGGCGCTGGCAGCCCTGGCGTCGACAAAGCCCCCCCGCAGCCGACAACTACGTGGGCTCGCCGCCTCCGCCTCCGGAGGGGTCAGGTCGCGAGATCGACGGCGCGGAGATCCTTTCCCTTTGCCTCGAGATGCTGCTGCCCTCGATCGGCGATGCATGTGACGCTGCGCGGCCACGGCAAGTTTTTGACTCGGTTCGGGCCCTGAACCAGCTTGCCGCCGCCAGCCTGAATTCGCGACGTGCCCAGGGGCACGATCTTCCACCTGAGGGGCACCTCCAGCCCACCGCCGTGCAGCGCTGGATGCTCCAGAACGTCGCCCGGCGGGTGCAGCCGCCCGGTCCGCAAGGGCATTGTGTCAGGCGCCCCCCAGACACAGTCCCAAAACAGGGTCTGCCCAAAACCAGGGCCCGGCCAAAACAACCTCAAACCCGTCGGCTACGACGTGGGAGCGTGATGATTGAACATCCCCCCGAACTGCCGCCCAAAATGCTGCCCGACATGCCCCGCGCAAAACATATGCGAGAACAAAAACGCAACCCTGGGGGAAGAAAACATCGCGCGTCTCGGTAAGATTATAAGTAAAACTTGTTTTTTCCCGGAAAGGGCTCGAGCCCAGGATTCTCTTTTAGATTGTTTACCCCCGGTTTTTACTTGAAGGGGGCCGGCGAATTTCTTGTGCGATAAATTACGAGGTCGAAGGGGGCCGGCGAATTAAAATTGTGAGGACGCAGGCAATTTTTCGCCACCCCTCAAGCAGATCGTGCTCTTGGAGTTTTATTGCCTGTAAGGAAACCTCGATATTTCACAGGTGAAGTCAACTTTGTTTCCGACATCGACTTTAAACGATAAAAAATGTGGGTAAACGCGTCCGCTCGATAAATAACAAGGTGCCGCGGCCTCCGGAACGGCGCTGGGAACGGAGTTATGGATTCTTGAAGTTGCATAAGTTCGGAAATCGCACAAATCCCCTTTGTTTTTGGATCCTGACCCCGCGGATCTGCGTGAGGGGTGGCACCGCATTTCAGAAATGTTGCAAATCCCCTGTGTTTTTTGGACCCTGACCCCGCGGATCTGCGTGAGGGGTGGTACCGAATTTCAGAAATGTGGCAAATCCTATATGTTTTTTTGACCCTGACCCCGCGGATCTGCGTGAGGGGTGGCACCGAATTTAGAAATGTGGCAAATCCCATGTGTTTTTGGACACTGACCCCGCGGATTTGCGTGAGGGGTGGCACCGAATTTAGAAATGTTGCAAATCCCTTGTGTTTTTGGACCCTGACCCCGCCGACCTGCGTGAGGGGTGGCACCGAATTTCAAAAATGTAGCAAATGCCTTGTGTTTTTGGACCCTGACCCCGCGGATCTGCGTGAGGGGTGGCACCGAATTCCAGAAATGTGGCAAATCCCATGTGTTTTTGGACCCTGACCCCGCGGATCTGCGTGAGGGGTGGCACCGAATTTAGAAATGTGGCAAATCCCATGTGTTTTTGGACCCTGACCCCGCGGATCTGCGTGAGGGGTGGCACCGAATTTTAGAAATGTTGCAAATCCCTTGTGTTTTTGGACCGTGACCCCGCGGATCTGCGTGAGGGGTGGCACCGAATTGGAGAAATGTGCAAATCCCATGTGTTTTCGGACCCTGACCCCGCCGAGGGCAGCTACTATGTGTTCAGGCAGCTCGAGCTTAAGATTCAGATCAGGACTCGGATGCAAAGGAGGACTCGATCCACGAGGCTATAGAGCACAATCGCGGCATGGCACATCGCAAGTCAGCACGGCGCAGCACAGCACAGACTTCGGCACAGTACATCAAGATCGATAGACTCAGCATTGCAACTTGGCACGTTGCCTTGGCACGTTCCGTGGGGCGTCCCTTGGCGAGTCCCCCTGGCACGTCGCGTGGCGCGTCCCTTGGCACATCCCGTGGCACATCCATTGGCACGTTCCGTAGCGCGTCCCCTTGGCACGTCCCGCGGTGCGTGCCCATGGCACGTCCCTTGGCACGTCGCTTGGCGCGTCCCTTGGGACGTTCCGCGGCGCGTCCTCCTGGCATGTCCCCCATGTCGATTAGTTCTGGGGCAGCTACTATGTGTTCAGGCAGCTCGAGCTTAAGATCCAGATCACTTCGGTCAGGACTCGGATACAAGGGGACTCGATCCACAACGCTATCTAGAGCACAATCGCGGCATGGCACATCGCAAGTCAGCACGGCGCAGCACAGCACAGACTTTTGCACAGTACATCAAGATCGATGCTCTCAGCATTGCAACTTGGCACGTTCCGTGGGGCGTCCCTTGGCGAGTCCCCCTGGCACGTCGCGTGGCGCGCCCCCTGGCACGTCCCGCGGCACATCCATCGGCACGTTCCGTAGCGCGTCCCCTTGGCACGTCCCGCGGTGCGTGCCCATGGCACGTCCCCTGGCACGTCGCCTGGCGCGTCCTTTGGGATGTTCCGCGGCGCGTCCTCCTGGCACCCAAGCTTGCAGCATTGCGCACGTCCCTGGCACGTCCCGCGCGTGGCATGGCACGTCCCTTGGCACGTCCCTTGGGACGTTCCGCGGCGCGTCCTCCTGGCATGTCCCCTCTGTCGATTGGTTCTGGGGCAGCTACCATCTGCTCAGTCAGCTCGAGCTTAAGATCCAGATCAATTCGGTCAGGACTCGGATGTTAAGGAAGACTCGATCCACGACGCTATCTAGAGCACAATCGCGGTATAGTTCAGCACGGTGCAGCACAGCACAGCCCCTGGCACAGTACATCAAGATCGATACATTCTGCATTGCATTTGCCCGTCGCCCAATCAAGTGTCTTTGAACAGTTGCCATGCCAGGCCACCAGCACGACGCTTTTCCCCAGCACGTTTTGCAGCGCGTCCCCTTGGCACGTCCCGCGGCGCGTCCCCGTGGCACGTCCCTCGTCACGTCGCCTGGCGCGTCCCTTGGAACGTTCCGCGGCGCGTCTTCCTGGCATGCTCCCTTGTCAATTAGCTCTGGGGCAGCTACTATGTGGACTAATTATGTGCTCAGGCAGCTCGAGCTTAAGATCCAGATCAGTTCGGTCAGGGCTCGGATGCAAAGGAGGACTCGATCCACAACGCTATAGAACACAATCGCGGCATGGTACATCGCAGTTCAGCACGGCCCAGCACAGCACAGCCCTCGGCACGGTACATCAAGATCGATACACTCACTCAGCATTGCAACTTTTCACGTTCCTTGGCACGTTCCGTGGCGCGTCTTGTGGCGAGTCCCCCTGGCACGTCGCGCGGCGCGTCCCTTGGCACGTCCCGTGGCACGTGCACTGGCACGTTCCGTAGTGCGTCCCTTTGGCACGTCCCGCGGTGCGTCCCCATGGCACGTCCCCTTGCACGTCGCCTGGCGCGTCATTTGAACCGTTCCGCGGCGTGTCTTCCTAGCATGCCCCTCTGTGTATTAGCTCTCGGGCAGCTACTATTTGCTCAGGCAGCTCGAGCTTAAGGACCAGATCAGTTCGGTTAGAACTCGGATGCAAAGGAGGACTCGATCCACGACGCTATAGAGCACACTCGTCACGTGGCACATCGCAGTTCAGCACGGCGGAGCACAGCACTGCCGTCAGCACGGTACATCAAGATCGATAGATTAAGCATTGCAACATTTTGGCACGTTCTTTGGCACGTTCCGTGGCGCGTCCCGTGGCGAGTCCCCCTGGCACGTCGCGCGGCGCGTGTCCCGTGGCACGTCCATTGGCACGTTCCGTAGTGCGTCCCCTCTGCACGTCCCGCGGTGCGTCCCCGTTGCACGTTTTCTGGCACCTCGCCTGGCGCGTCCCTTGGGACGTTCCGCGGCGCGTCTTCCTGGCATGTTCCCTTGTCAATTACACCGCACTCACATCTATACCCCTGGGTGGGTGTATGTGCGGCCGTTTTTGCGCTGTCATGTGCGCGCATGTGCGCGGCATGTGCCAGTCATGTGCCAGGCCTGTGCGGTCCTTCTTGGATGGACTTCCTACTGTGCACGTCGTGCCGGGGCATGTGCGGGGGCATGTGCGCTGTGTTTTGATGTATCCATCATACGCACATGCACGCACAGTCCGACGCACATGCGCGCACATGCCTGCACATGCGGGAGGTGTTCGAGAATCGCAGATCTGTCATCGGCACATGCACGCACATGCCTGCGCAACCTCTCTTCGGGAGGCCGCGCGGGCCCGCACATGCACGCACATGCGGTGAAGCGCGCGGGCGCACATGCGTGCACATCCCAATGCACATGCACGCTCATGCCCCAGGAGCTGTCTGGGACCCCTGTGCCTCCAATGCCTCCTGGCCTTCGCAGAGCTAGCCTGGGGCGTGCCAGGGCTTCCTGAAAGAGTTTGTTGTGCGTTTAGACTCGCCCGCTGCTGGCGGGGGCGGTTCTTCGCCCGGTTCGTGAGCTGGCGGTGGCGCGCCCGCCTAATAAAATACTCTTCCGCGCGCCTTCTCAGCTCGGCCGGAGAAGCAGGGATGGGGGGGGGGAGGTGGAGGGGGGGGGGAGGAGGGGGGGGCGGAGAAGGCGGGCGCCCCCGGCTCGGCTGGCCCGCCTGCCTCTTCGGCTCGGCCAGAGGAGAAAGAGGAGGAGGAGGAGGAGGAGGAAGAGGAGGAGGAAGAGGAGGAGGAGGAGGTGAGAGTTGCGAGGATGTCTCAGGCGAAAGTGGCTTGACGGCCCGAGCTCAGGGAATCTCGGAATCGCTGGCCTGGCTTGGCCACCGGCGAGCTCGGCCTGTGCGAATACTGTGCGTACCTGTGCAGTGCATGTGCGGGACGTGCAAGAATGCCGGGGCCGGCGTTCGTCTCCGGACGCCGGCGCGTTCGCGTCCGGCCAGTTCCGCGTGAGACGTCGTCGGCAATCTGGAGGCCGACGTGCTTGACATGAAGTGATTTGGCCACCTTCGCCTGAGACATCCTCGCAACTCTGGTCTCGGAGATGCCCTGCCCC